GGACCGCATAAAAATTAATAAAACCCTGTGGGTTAGCAGTATGACTTCATTTTGATTATAGGCGATAGCCCCACAAAATATCACTTGGCACATGTAAACCATAAAAATAATGCAACAAAACAATAATCAGATACAACATGTACTATGCTTCACCTCAAACAGTCCCTCCTTGACATTCAAATACAAATAATTGAGAATATAAACTGCTCCTCAAAAGTTAGGGAACGATGAATTTTTCGAACAACCCACTTATACATAATGTTTAAAATTGTATGTATGTACTCTCTAAAAATGAATTAGTCAAAAATGACTAATTTAATATTTATTAATGGCTGCTTTTTCACTTGTACCATGGTTAACCATGGAATACCATGGTATCCCAAAATTTAACAGCCAATTCTTTTATAAAATTGTCCCCTGAATCCGAAAATACCGTCAAAAATTATTAAAGTGGAGCAGTTTTTGAGATATAGTCAATTCCATATTAAATTGAAAATTGAATATATCTCAAAAACTGTTCAACTTTTTTAACTTTTACGATATTTTCGGATTCAGGGGACAATTTTACATAAGAATTGGCTGTTTAATTTTGGGACACCATGGTATTCCATGGTTAACCATGGAATACCATGCATGGGACAAGTGAAAAAGCAGCCACTAATAACAGTTAATTTAATGGTTACTATTAAATTAGTAATTTTTGACTAATTAATTTTTATAGAGAGGAAATAAATGCAGTATTTTGACTAATTTTATACAAACGCAAGGGCAGATTTTGTAAGATTTTTTGTTACTTTAACAAATAATGCACATTTCGTTTTGGTACAGTGATACTTAACTAACTAAAAATCGACATCTAAAGGCTAACATTGAACAAATTTAATAAAGTCTTGAATAGAAGCAAGTTAACTATAGCTCAACAAAATATTACTATTGGTATAATACAATTAAGGCAAACTCAGGCACATGTAGCGAATCATTTCAATGTGATAAAAAGTGAAATTTCTACTTTAGATTTTTGGAGATTATATCGGTAGAAGAAAGACGAAAAAGTGAAAGACCATTTGGTCTTTGAAGAAAACAACACCACAACATGAATATTATTAGACTATCTGCTCGTGACTAAAATATGCTATGGAGTTTATATTTCCATTGCAACCATTAGGAGACGTTTAATGATAACAATCTCTTCTAATAACTGTCGTACACAAACAAGCAAGATTAGGATGGGCGAGAGAATATGCAAACTGGGTACAAGAATAGGAATCTGTATTTTTTACTGACGAGTCCAGATATGGTAGATTTTCTGACAGTCGACGTGTACGTGTATGTACAGCACCAGGAACACCAAGAAATTTAAGGGGAGTTCAAAAGGTTTACCCTTTTAAAGGTGGCACATGTTTAGGAGGAGGTACATGTGTGAAAACACGATGAATAGTAAAATTTATGAGGAGCCTATTATAAACAATGTGGTTACCACTTTTCACGCTGCTGTAGGGCAAAATTTTAATTTTCTAGACGATAATGCGAGACCGCATCGCGCTGCACGAATGATGCGAGCAACAGAAAACCTTGGTATTCCACATTTGCCGTGGCCACCTATATCACCCGACCTTAATCCGATAGAACAGGCATGGGATTTTTTCCAGCAAACCCTAGAGTTTAATGCTATTTCTAAAAATAGTACAATATGTTCTTAATTACACCTTTACTGTCAAAAAATGCATCTTAAATTCACAATTTGTATTGTATCATTGTGTAAATTTTGTAATAAAGGTTCATTCATGTCCCCCATTGTTTGGCAGCATCTGGCAACCTTACTGTACACATAAAATTAACTGACAGATAAATATCCTTAATTGTTGGCATTCAAATGTCAAAGTGGGTCTTTTTGATGAGGGACATAGTTACATCATCAAATACTTTAGTAATGTATTTTAAGTAAAAAGTTACTTCGATCGCTTCGGCCGATGCGACAAAAAATACTTGGTGATATGGGTTTTTTTTATTTAATGTATAGCCTAATAAAAGAAGAATATTTTTGACAATTTTGATGCCAAAATATTATATAATAAATTATCTACAATTTTTTTTATAAAAACATTTTTGTAATTCGTGCGTTTCGCGCGCCTGAAATGGCCCCTATCTGCCTCGACATCAGCGAGTTTAACCAAAAATGGAACAGTTGTATTTAAATACAAGGTATGTACTATTCTAGAATATTCATCATCATTGCTTACTTTATATTTTTATATCTTTAAAAAACATAATTTGAAAGTTTTGTCAAATAATAATTATAGATTTTTTAATTTTAATTTTTTTGCGTAGTTTAAAGATTAAAGTATCCCAAGTCGATTCCCACATAGCCTAAAATGGGATAAATTTTGCTATGACCCCCCACAGAGGTCAAAGTGTGCCCGTGTGACACGGACTTTACGGATTGGCTTGTGTTGGGTTCGGGGATATTTTTTAATAGTTTTTCGTGGTTTTTTAATATTTTGTTTGTTTGTTTTGGTTAATTCACCTAAATGGGCTCAAATTAACCAACAAAATAGGAATACATAAACCAATACCGTTTAGTCCAGTATATTAAGGTTTTAATTATTTTAATTCATTAGGTAAGAAATAAAAGTTGCTGCATGAGATTAATGGTCGAAAACTTGGATTTAAGCTTTTTAGGTAAATGTCGAAAAAAAATTCTCTTACCAAATAAATTGAAATAATAAAACCTAAATATACTGGACTACAGGGTATTGGTCTATGTGTTACTATTTTTTAGGTTTATTTAAAACTCATTTAAGTTAATTAATTAAACCAAACAAAATATTAAAAAAACTGATAAAAAATATTTCCGAACCCAACACAAGCAAAAAAGGTAAATACTTTCTGTCCACGATAAGTTGGTAAACCGAATGAATTAAGTTATTTAGATATTAAACAATTGTTGTGTTGTGTGCTATTAAAACGTATTTTTTATAATATAAGTAATAATTTTATATAATTTATATGTATAAATAATAATAAAAAACATAACTAAGTATGTATGTTTTTTAATATTATTTATCTAAACTGCATAAACATTCCTTTGCTCCGCCAAATTATAATGGACCCACTGTACTTGTAATAACACGAACTATGTGGTAATCGACTTGGGAAACTTTCATCTTAAAACTACGCAAAAAAATTAAAATAAAACTTTTTCAAAAAATTTTTTTTTTTGCCAAAACTTTTAGGTTACGTTTTTAAAAGATAAATAAAAATAAAACTGTTGCAGGTTTGGTAAAAATCGTTCATGTCGGGACAGACAGGTTTGGCGCGTTTTGCCTCATATATTATTATAAGGAAGCAAAATATTTTCTATATTTTGTAAAATATAATTATTAATTATAATCCATTTATTAGTTTCTACATGTTTATTTTAATTTTTTTTACTAAAAAATATAATTTGTGATGAATGATTACAGGCACATAATATTATATTATTTTTTGTTATATGCACCTAAGGATCTTTTTTGCGTTATAAAAACTTTATTAAAATGACTAGAGCTAATTCAAATAGTAGAATTTTGACTATTTCATTTTATAGCTCTCAAATAGCTCTCATGCTCGCAGAAAATACCCATAGAAGTCTAAAAATGATATAGGTAGTCAAAATTCTACTATTTGAATTAGTAACAGCATTTTTTACTAATAAAATAGACGTTTTAACTTTTAAATAGTTATTTTTTACTAAGTAAATAGTTAAAGTTTGAGTAATTTAAGATTAGTCGCCATCTTTGACTATTTCTGAGAGTTAAAAGTAATTAATTTTTTTAATCGTTTGCGGCCAACAACAAAGTATTATTTGAATTAAATGCAAATAGGCTCCATGGTTAAATGGCCCATAAAAACAAACAAATATGCAAAAATTTTAGCTCAAAACAGCAACACAAATAATATATTCAACCTTAAAATATTATGAACAAAATTTATTGACAAATAAAATTGAATTTTATAAGAGTGATTGATAGCCACATTGGTTATGACAACAGCTTGACAAGTGACAGACCTGAGTTCAATCCCCGGCTGGGTCAAAACTTTTTTAAATTTAAATATACTAATTTGACTATTTTATTCAGTAGAATCTAACTAATTATTAGTGACTGCTTTTTCGCTATGACAATTAGACAAATATGACTTATAATTAGTTATTTTTGACTAATTTATTTATACATAGAAGCATACTTGGTGCAAACTTTACCTAAATTAAAACATTTATAATATAAATATTTTATATCCAATCATAGGGTGTTTCAAATTTGAAATATTGAACACTCAGAGAAATATCATGTCATGAAAAGCATATGAAATGATATTAATTTAAATAATCGGGTAAATTTGATTCAAATAGAAAAAAATGTAGTTTTATATTCATTTACCAACAGTTTTACAATGTTTTTAAACACTTTTAAAGTGTACTCTTTTTAAAATATATATACAAAAAGAAATCTATTTATTTCATTGCCTTTCTCAACGTTATTTTAAAAATATATGTATTATACAATTGTTATACACCTTTTAATTTAATGAGAAACACCAATGACGCCAAAACATATTTGAATCCCTTTGAATTATTAGGGATTCAAATATGTTTTGGCGTCATTGGTGTTTCCCATTAAATTAATAGGTGCATAACAATTGTATAATACATATCTTTTTGAAACAACTTTGAGAAAGGCAATGAAATAAATGGATTTTTTTTGTATATATATTTTAAAGAGGGTACACTTTAAAAGTGTTTCAAAACATTGTAAAACTGTTGGTAAATAAATGTAAAACTAAATTTTTTTTCTATTTGAATTAAATTTACCCGATTATTTAAATTAATATAATTTCATATGCTAATAAGAAAACCACATACTTAAATAATTCCTTAAAAACTACTTTCTTAAACGACCAGTTTAAACCCGAATTACACGTTTAAGAGCACTGTTATAATAAAGTGGCTGTGATCATCTTACCGTAGTCTTTAATGTACTTTTCCAGCTTATCGTTTTCCTCTTGGGACGTGATGCTGGCCAAGTGCATGCCGTGGAATCTGCAGTACTGCGTCGCTCTATAATAATTGGCCTGAAGCAAAAAGAAACGTATTTTGTACTAAACTTTCATAAACATTAAGAAACAGAAAATGATATAACTCGAAATTAATATGATTGTGAATTTGGATGGATCAATTAATGCAAAGGCAAATTGGTATTTTTAACTTTTACAAAGCGTTTTAATAATGGTAGGTATGTATTTGTATTGAACTTAACCTATTGTGAAATGTTTTGAAGAGTATTAATTTTAAAACTCTTTATATGCCTCAAGCCTATAAGAATTGAGTGGACTCCTTAATTAACGCTATAGCTACCATAAAAAAAGATTCAATTTCAATGTTAATTCAATTCATGCAATATATTTTTGTTAATAAATTTTAGAATATTGCTTTAGGGTATACGTATATGAATAATTTCCGAGCGGGATTTTGAAACTTCCCCTTTAAACATATCCTAAATTGCAAGGGTGAAGATATATTGTCTGAGCCTACAAAAAAAAACATTGTTGCGGTATTTATGAATTTCAATTATGTTGTTTCCTTCTTTCATAGGTATCAGAGCTGTCAAAGATACTTTTAAAAAGTATCTAGATACAAGATAAGTTACTTTTTGAAAAAGTATCCGAAGTTACTTTGGGTATCTAGTTACTCTTTAAAAAAAGGAACTTAAATACTTATCTTAAGTTACTTTTTAAGATACTTAATAAGATACTTTTTTAGTTACTTTGTATATTATGTAATAAGTTTCGTATAAACCGCCCAACAAAAATTCGTCCCAACCCCACCCTGATTTTTCAAATAATTTTAAGCTTTTTTAACAATTTTTTTTCAATAAAATCTAGTTTATTAAAACCATTGAAGGGTCCAATGCAAAAAGTGTCTAACTTAGGCACTTTTAAAATATCTTAAAAATAAAAAGAGATAAAATCGTTAATTAAACACCACTTAATTATAAAAATAAAAAAAATTATCTCACACTTTTCATTTAATCTTTTTAAACATTTTTTTTTAAATTTAAAATGGAAAACATACATTGAACATTATAGAATGTACGGTACAATGTAACAACCAATAACCTACATCAGTACATCATAAAGAAGCAAGTGCAAGTACTTACCTAACCTAACTTATTTCAGACTTACCACTATAAATTCAAGTCGCAACGAACGGAAACACCCTTCTACAGAGCGGGTGGCGAAGTCACAGATTATAAAAGAAGTTTAGGTGGATAAAAATTAAGTAGGTATAACAAAAATCGCCGCCAGTCGATTGGAGCCAGTCGCTGAAGTCGCCAGTATACTTATTATAATAACTTCGATGGCCGCGGCCGTTTCGAACAACTTGACTAAAGGAACTTTTCTTGTGGTATCTTAGATACTTTTTGGTATCTAAGTTACTTTTTGGTATCTAAGTTACTTTTTGGTATCTAAGATACTTTTCGGTATCTAAGATACTTTTTTAAGTTACAAGATACAGTTCCTTTTAAAAAGTATCTAAGATACTAGATACTTTTTGTTAAAAAAATAAAGGAACTAAGATACAGTAACTTAGATACTTTAAAGTAACTAAGTTACTCTAAAGTAACTAAGATACTTTTTTCTGACAGCTCTGATAGGTATATATACGTATACGTTCGTATATTCATGAAATAAATCATATCTTTGTTTAAGAATACCTCAAGGTTTAAGTTAATTGGTTAAAGAATATTTGTTCTTAAAAATACAAATTAAAAACCGTATACGTATGTATATAAAATGTATAATTATAATTCTACGTTTTATATACATAGGTAGGTATTTTTGTATTTCCATTTTAAAACACACAATATTGTTTTTTTATGGCACATTGACAAGTTGTGGCTAAAGTTAGTTGCAGTTGTCAAATGTCATGCAATCGTCAAAATAAAGCGACCATTGAGGTTAGAAATGTCTGACAGATGTCGGGTTGATTTATTTTTGAAAATTACTTAATTTTTGTGTTCGTCGTAGACAAACTATAGTGAGCAATGCGTTTTGGAAATTTCTCTAGAGACTCGTTTAATAAACATTTGCTTGCACAATTTTCTGCGGTGTAAGATCCAAAAGGGTCTCGGAATTTGAGGTCAAATTTCATTGTCAGAATTTTATGGGAAATGCAATCTGAAAATATTCTGACAGTTTTTTTATGGCTTCTTACATGTGAGAATTGACTTAGTATCTTAAAAATCGATATTTATTTTTAGATAAAATTTTAAGGTTATGTTTTTTAAAGATAAAAAATAAAGTAGGCTATGATGTACAGCATAAAAATGTTTATAAAATCATTTTTTTTTGCTAAACCACTGTTAATCTGAAGGGCCTACTTTAACCCTCTGTATAAACGAAACGCGTCCCTAAATCTGATAAATATTGGACTAATTAATAACTCAAATAGAGTAAAAATGTGTTTTTTATTCTAAGGTTATAACGCAACTTTTAAGTGTACCTATTTCCAATATCTATTTTCAGGTTATGTTTATAATACCTTAAATCAATTTAATGGTTAGAAAATCGCGGTAAAACACATGCCAACACTTGTAAATATCACACTGTAATATTTCGTGGAACGAACCCTTATATTGGATGTATTGGATTATATCAGATGTGACAATGTTTATAAACAAATGTCAAAATCATCAGAATATCAATAAGAAAGAAATATCAAGCTAAAAATCATAGACAGTCGAGTATCGAATAACGGCTTGAACAAATTATAACAAGAAACTATAAATCATTTTTTTAGATAAAGAAAACATTTAGCAAAATCTTTTTATCCGAAATCAGCAGTAAAGTAGTCAATAATCGGCAGTAAAGTAAAAGAAATCGGCAGTAAAGTAGAACTGTACTGCCGATTTAATACGAGTATTGTATGCAACCCATTATACATTTTAAGATGTGTCTACTGCTCCTCAGCAGCAACTAAATAATATTAAAAAAGAGCACCGTCGCGGAGGTCGATTGGACCCTTTCATAAAATGTTGTTTAATAAAAATAATAAGTTAATTTTATTAATTAGATTAAAAAATCGCCGCGGTAGGCAAATATATAATAACAGTCGCAACAAACAGTATACGTATACGTGTCTATAGACACTTCCTACATTCAAATGAAATTTGATTTGATCATCAAATGACATTTGATTTAGTTAATCATATATTATATCACGAGAACTATGAATTTAATCGGTTAAACTAGGCTCAGTAGTTTTTTGTTTGGTTTTTCTTGGAAAATGTTGAATGCAAAATAATTTAATAAAATCACGAGACCGCGTAGCGGTCGAGAGGTTTTATTTTTAATTATTTTGCATGAAACTATATTCCAAAAAGAAAAATCAAATAAAAAACTTACTGAGCATAGTTTGACAGATTAAATTTATAGGTTGAGTGATATACGTCTAGATTATTTCTAGAATTAAAGGAAACTATTTGACAATTCATAAAATCTGACGTATGTGTCAAAATTTTTAAATATTTTTTTAAAGAATATTCCATTAATTTAAGGTATGTAATAAGTAATAATTGATATTTCGTAAACTAGATAACTTAATTTTTATTGTTTTAAAAAGTGTTTGTTAAAACTTGTAAATAACACCATAAAATCGTAAACAAAAATCCAATATGGAGGCTAAAATTTAATCGCTGTTAAATAGTTCTAGTGATTTAATCGCTTATTTAAACGAAATTTATTCGAAAATTTAAGGCTTTTGATTGGTTCATATTATAATGAGGGAAATAATCATCAATATTAATTATAATTATTAGTATTATTAAATGTGATTTCGAATAAAATTTAATATGCACCTCGGCATTAAAGTCATGTTTTATCACTTACGTGGTTATTTCCACATTCGCATACGTATATTATAATAAAAAAATACGACTTTACTGCCTTGAAACATAATTAACTATTATATAAATAAAATAAGGGTATTTCCATTGCGTTCCAGGAGTCCGAACTGGGCTTGTTTTACTTGAAAAGTCGGATTAACAATGATAATCCAGTCAAGATTAAAAAAAAATAAAAAAGCCTGCTATTTTATAAATATTAAGTTTAATTTTAAGTGTTTTAAACGTAATGGTTTTCATCCGGATAATTTTATTTACAGGAAAAGATTTTCGATAAGGTTCATTTTAATATAATTTTAAAAAAATAATAAGATTTATGGTTTTTCTTATAATTTGTCTTCAAATATTAAACATTATAATTGTAGAGACTGCAGAGACAAAAATACCTATTATATAGAAGTACTTTTTAATTTGCGAGGAAACTTCGGTGTTGTTTAAAATATGCAAAACGAAATTAACAAATTTTAGCATAAAATAATTCCGCTTTTATCTGAGTTTCCCAAGCTTTTAATTAAATTACCTACCATTTTTATATAAATCATTAAAAAACCAGTTGCAAATTTAAGTGCTCATTATAAGAAACAGTGGCAGTAGCTTGTTATGTTTGCTTATTGTGGGTACACTTGTATTTTATAATGGCATATTTTAAATGCCAACCTTAAGCATCATTATCCTATATTGCGACAGCAGTCTGCTTTTAAGGTTAATAAGAGCCTAAGTGAATTTTTTCCTTGTAATTGTTATGTAAACGGCGGCTTTTATGTGTGTTTTTTGGGTTTTCTAAATACGATTAGGCAATTTATTAATTAAATATACATATTTATATTATGCAAAATATCTAGGAACATATGAGCATCAAATATCGTATACATATGGTTTAAATGAAAGTGACCATTTAATAGTATATTATACAACTAGGGCCGAAAGTTGAATTTTCGTCGAAAGTACGTACTTTCTTCCCTAATAGCACAGGGAGTAAATGTTAAACTTTCGTCCATGCTATTAGGGACGAAAGTAAGTACTTTCGAACAAGGTATGAAGAAAAATATTTTTTAGTGTATATAAAATTTATATTTTAGATATTGTTGGTAATGATACTTTAAGATAATTTATCAAGTGCTTCCGATTTTTTTTTTAATTTGAAAAAACCTATTGACTCTTTCGAGCGCACCAAGTATTCTTCTATACATATTAGGGTGTGCCAAAAAAACTCGATATTTCTTTTTTCTTGCTCTCCACCCAAAATATCGTAGAATATGTCCGAACAAATATTCTGTTAAAAGCGGAGCTCATAATTTCAATTTTAAGAGGTCCCTCATCGAATCTGAAGTTTTGCCGCTTAAATAACACAGAAAACTGACTTTTTTACCTTATTTATTCTTGCAACCTAGGAAGAATTTTTTTTTTCATAAAATCCATGACCAAATCTTACAAAGCATTAAATTTGGACGAAAAAATCTTATTAAGCCGAATTTCTATTTTCATTATTTAATTTTTTACAGAGCTTTAAATTTAAAATTTTACGTTTTTTGCCTTTTTCAGCTAAACTATTGAAGTTAGACGAAAAAGTCAAATGGCAATTTTTTAGCTTGTCTGATGAACCACAAAAAAGTTTTAGGCGAATTTTTTGTATCGTCAATATTCTAAAAGTTACAGGCGTATAAATTCATCATTTTTGTATTATTAACTTTAAATTTAAAGCTCTGTAAAAAATCAAATAATGAAAATAGAAATTCGGCTTAATAAGATTTTTTTGTCCAAATTTAATGCTTTGTAAGAATTAGTCATCGATTTTATGAAAAACAAATTTCTTCCTAGGTTGCAAGAATAAATAAGGTAAAAAAGTCAGTTTTCTGTGTTATTTAAGCGGCAAAACTTCAGATTCGATGAGGGACCTCTTAAAATTTAAATTATGGGCTCCGCTTTTAACAGAATATTTGTTCGGACATATTCTACGATATTTTGGGTGGAGAGCAAGAAAAAAAAATATCGAGTTTTTTTGGCACACCCTAATACATATATGTATGGATATCTCGATTAAATAAGCAAAAAGTTGCGTAATTCCAAGTCTATTAAGATGGCAGATAAAATTCGTTATTCCTGGGAATTTTGGAAAAAAATAAGTTTCTCATGTAAACATATACATTTATCTACATTTTCATCATCATGTTTGATTTTTTTCGCCAACTAGATTTTGAGTTACTACCAATATCTTTTGTTTTTCCTATATATAGAATTTTACATCGTTAGATTAAAACAAATTAAGGAAGTTATGGCGGCCATAATAAAAACAAAAGATGGTGATGGGTAACTCATAATATGGTAGTAAAGAAATTGGATGAAAAATTTTCATTTCATTAAAAATGTAGATTTATAATTATGTTTACAAGTAAAACTATTTTTTTCAAAATTTACAGGAATAACAAAGGTATAACGATTTTTGGTTTTAAATGGTTTTTATTTTTTTTCAAATATTTAAGAAACGCTGTGTTTTTTTTAATTTATGAATTTTATTTTAATAAGCTTGTAATTTCGCAACTTTTTTCTGATATAACAGACCTTGAAGTTCTTCAACTAAAAAATACCCATAGGAGGATACTTGGTGCACCCTGTATAATTATATTTATAACCATTATAAAACATTAAAATAGTTAGGGCTTAAGTAAAATATACTAATTATTAAAAAAATGTGTATAAACAATTTTTTTAATTAAAAATACCTTGACTTTGGTTAATCTAACACGAATAGTATTTGTAATTGTTAAACTGTTAAAAATAAAATTAGGCATATTTTCTTCATATGCAGTGTTCAATACCAAATCCACCATTTCTAATTGATTATTGATTTCACTGGTCAACAGTGATTTTGCAACAGGCCCACCATAATTTTGCTTAATTAGCCTTTGCTTTCGAAATATTGTATAGAAAAAAACCCGAGATATTGTATAAAAAAACGGATTTTTACAAAAAGCCGTTTTTTATATGCAACATTTGTATACAGTCATTTAACTTGAAACTTTGAAATATCTCAGTTAGTATACATTTTACAAAAAAATGTTTAAAATAAAAATTAAATGTTTAGGGGGGGGGGAATCAATCAGTACTAAAATTGGTCCTCAACTCTCCTCCTTATAGGGGGAACAGGGGGTAACTTTAAAATTTCCAATGGAATACCCTATTTTTTATTGCAGATTTGGATCAATCGACTAAAAATAGGTAGATTTTGTCTAAAACATTTTTTCATATTTGTAATAGATGGCGCTGTAAAAAAAAGTCAATTTTGTTCGATTTTTATACGATTCTCAAATAATTTTTGAATAAAATACTTGGTTTTATTTTTTAAATTTATTTATTAATTTCTATTTTCGTTTTAATATTCTGCAAATACTGCTCTGAGATATTCCCAAATGTCTAGATAATTCTCGTGTCTTTGCATGAGGATTAGCGGCCGTTGCTGCTAATACATTAATTTCATTATTTCCACCTGTGAATGTTGCTCGACGAACTCTTTTTTTTTCGTTGAACACTCCCGTTTGTAGTAAACTGCTCGACTGTACGGTGAAATGAAGTACGTGATCGATTTTTTTCCGGAAAACGCTGAGCGTAGATATTAACAGCATCATCAAGATTCCTGCCTGCTTCTTCATAAATCAAAATCATTTCTATTTTTTCTTCCACCGTTAAAAAATCCATTATGAAGAACTTCTTAACGAAAGGAGGTATTTTTGTTTGCAAATTAATCTTCGAACTAAATTAATTAAATAATGCTCCACTATGTATAAATAGTTTCTTTATACCTCAATAATAATTATTATTTGTAGCTAAATATCATTTTTTTATACTTCAATTAAGATTAAATTAATTAATTGACAAAATAATGTTTTTTTTACCCTAAATGAGGTATTTTTATTAAAAATAGTACAATAATCCTTCAAATTAAAGGATTTAATGGTGGCAGGTCAATTGATAATTATCACCGAATGAAATACTGTATAAAACTTAAACCAAAGGAAACTTAAATATTACTTAAAAAATCGAGGGTACTTAAAAAAATCAGATTTAATTTAATAAGATAATTATTACCAAAAAAGTGATATTTTTATAGAAAAAAAATTGCAGAATCGAAGAAGAAATATCGAACAAAATTGATTTTTTTCATTACAGCGCCATCTATTACAAATATGAAAAATATTTTAGACAAAATCTACCCATTTTTAATCGAATGATCCGAATCTGCAATAAAAAATAGGGTGTTCCTTTGGAAATTTTAAAGTTACCCCCTGTTCCCCCTATAAGGAGGAGAGTATGAAAACCAATTTTAATACTGATTGATTTCCCCCCTCGAATCATTTAATTTTTATTTTAAACATTTTTTTCGTAAAATTCATACTTACTGAGATACCTATTTCAAAGTTTCAAGTTGGTTGTATAGATAAGTAAAATTTCTTTTTTATCAGAAATTCAATATGCTTTTTCGCAAACAATTTTTCTTCGATTTTAATAAAAATTTACATAATTTTATTGCTTGTTCCTAATAAAATTGCCAAAATGGCACCTGTCAAAATTTATATTTAAGATAATATTTTTTTAAAGATTTTTAAGATATTGTTCCGGTTGAGTAAAAACAACTTTAAAAAAATCACAAAAATAAAGGTAACTTTAAATTTCCATGTATGAAGGTATTTTTAAATTCACAATCCATGTTTTATGGGAACATTCTTTACAAGAAGATTTATTTTCAACAAATTCTTTAATTCGACCTTCGTGGTCCAGTTTGATGTTCGCAATCCTTCCGTAAAAAGCAAGAGCATTATCATAATTTATGCTTTTTTATTATAGTTGAAATTCCTATTTAAGTAGCTGAATAAAATAAATGTCTGGTTCAGACATACCAGTTCCTTTTGAGCACTATGCAATTCTTTATAAAAACGTAATTTAATTATTCCATATAAATAATATTTAAAATGTAAGGCCGCTTTAAGATAAATCCAGAAGAAACATACTCAATTAAAAATGAGAGATTTTAAAAACTTTGCCTAAAAATATGAAAAATAAGTCTTCTTTACTTTTAAAAAATAATTTGCTTAAAATACTCGTTTCATTACAAAATTTCTTGTACGAGAAAGTTATTTGATTCGATTTAGATAAAGGGCGAAATCGTCAATAAAAAAGGATTTGGACTTTTCAATTTAAAGTATTAAAAGAAAAAGACTCACCTTAAAGAAAATTCCTAGATAATACCTCTTTTCGCCAAGCTTTAATAGAGGCATTGTCCATCTATTTGGGGCAGGAGGTAGGGAGTCATCTATACAATTTGGACAATCTGAAAACAGCAGGAAAGTTGAATTAAGTTTAAAATATAAAGCTTCTATTTTTTATTGTTAGGTATGTAAGCATATTGATTAATGAATAATATTACTACAAGTCAAGATGCAAAATGCTTCGAAAAATCCTTGACATTCACCTTAGAATTAGCAGAAGAAATCATGTAAATAATTAAATCGCTACTTTAATAAAATTATTTAGTACCTTAATGAAATGGGTTTTTATAGAAAAGCACCTGCGTTGTTTCATGAAGCCATTTGTTACTTTATGTTTTATTATAAAATGCCTGACATTAAAAGCAAGACTTCATGTCCAAAAAGCTTTTATCATTAATACAAATTAAATATTTTATTGCCTAAACCACTTTTAAGCCTGTTTAAAGCCTGATTATATCACAAGGTTCCTTAATTTCTTTTTACAAAACGTCATGTCCTGCATACAATTTGTATTTAGTTTAGTGAGAAGCATATACATATAAAAATTAAATTAAACTGCAATTTTAGTGGTGATTTTAAGGGAATAGAAAGCAAATGCATTTAATTACCGTCGTCATCGCTCCTAGAACTGGATTTTTCATGTTTAAAGAGTCCACCTGGAGTGCAAAATGATTTTTTTTTAATGTTTTTGCGCTATTTCCTTTGGTATGTAATAAATGTATATATACATATATATTTACTGTTTATTAATATTTATGATTATGATTATGATTATTTATAATTCATAAACTTCAATCAATAAAAGTACAAGCTTGCTTACGATTTAAAATTAAATCTGTGCAACCTGTTAAAAATTGAAAATTATGGGACAAAATTTCTTAGCGTGGCAACTGTTTTAGCCTATTCGTATGCAAATATTTTGGTCGCAATTAAAAAAGATGAGATACATTTTTAAATGATGTTAAATTTCGCAAATTTGTATGTTACTGTTAATATAAAAGTTACTTATATAATCTAAAATTTTTGCATTTTTGTTTTGATTTACATAATCTAGTGCCTGGCAGTGTGGTAACAACTGTAAGATACTTTTGATTAATTTAGGGTTTGAAAGTGCTTACTTATTCTTATGCAAATAATTTAATGTACTCTTTAAATTAAAATCAAAAAAACTATTTGCTCTTAATGCCCTATAGATTGATCTTAAAGTGGTATTATTATACTCTCGACATTGACTATTTTAAAACTAATTTGCTTTTTTAAAGGAATATAAATATAAATAGCCAGTTAGTTTTAAAACAATCCATTTTGGAATAAATAGTTTTAATGTAGTTTTATGGAGTACCCTTGATGTGCTCATTAAAACCCATTAGGAAAACTATTTTAATGTAAGCCTATAGGCCTGAAAAAAAGGTGCCTGAAAAAGATGTGAAAAAGATGCCCTTAAACTAAAGTAGTTAACTCTCTTAATGAAAAATTATTAGCGGCAAGAAACAATATTTTAGCATAAAAGAGTATTTATTGCTTAAAGGAAAAAGTTCTTAGTGGAAGAACTATAGTTCTCTTGAAAACAAATACAAAATCTCTTGAATGTTTCTTCTTTCAACCAAGTGCAAAGTGTTTTTGTTCAAAAACTATGAAAATTGTTTATGTTTACGCAATTCATTCAAGATACATCACAATTATCCCAATGTCAATTTTCTAACAAAATCTGGTAGCTTCTGATACATGGGAGGGGATGCAAAACGCGCACACCGTTGGTACGTTTTGTATCATTGCAAGTTGCAATTCGCCATTTTCTAAGGGCTGTAATATAATATTATAATTCTTTTATATACGAGGTGTGTTCAGAAAATAACGGTTAATAATAATTGTTAAATTTCGCGGGTTCAGAGCGTCCGGTTGTCATAAAATTATGTTTATTATGTTGGTATACATGCCCCCGAAGTATGATAAAAACTTTAGCTGTTTTCATTGTTTACTTTGTCTTTGCCGCTAAGGTTAGACGTGTTTTATGAGCTCGGCGATTTTTCGTTCGTTAAAAGAAATGGATCAAAGAATTTGTATCCAATTTTGCTTAAAAAATTAAATAAATTCTGTGAAATGTTAACAAAGGCCTATAGTGAGTCTGCTCGTATAAGTAAAACAAGAGTTTACAGGTGGTATAAGAGTTTCCAAGATGGCCGTGAAGACGTTGAAGATGACGAACGCCCCGAACGCACAAGCACATTAACAACCGATAAAAACATGGAAAAAGTGAAAGAAATGGATAAAAACCATCAGAGAAGTCGCTGATGATGTTGGTATATCGATTGGGTCATCCCATGAAATGTTTTCGAATGTTTTGGGTATGAAACGCGTTGCAGCAAAATTTGTTCTAAAATTGTTAAATTTTGAACAAAATTTTTGGCCAAAAACAATACTGTAATGATGCCCCAGCATCCATATTCGCCAGACATGCCTCTGTCTGACTTTTTTTATTCCCAAAAATAAAGAGAACCTAAAAGGGCCGTCGTTTTGCAAGCATAGATGACATTAAAAGCGCATCGCTGAAAGAACTAAAGGCTATCCCAAAGATCGAGTTTTAGAATCGTTTTGAGTATTGGAAGAAGAGCTGGCACATGTGCATAATCCAATGGGGACTATTTTGAAGGCGACAACACCTCGTATACCTATAGGTATTTCTAATACTCTAGTACTAAACTATGACTGTTATTAGTAAATAAATCTACAAAATTAACAAAACATGGCCCCATCTATTTTAAACGCCCTTTTATTTCTATTTTAGGATTTTGGATGAAGAGAAAAATAATTTGTATCTAAAAGTATCTAGATATTTGTTTAAGGTAACTGCATCTGTAACTAATTACAACAGTAAAAACTGTATCGGTATCTATATTTATTTTCAAATTTTGGTTGCTAACTGTAATAATGATGTAACTGTTACAACACTGGTGTCTGGTAAAATTGTCAGATTTTGTTAATTATTTTTTGTGTATTCTTTAAAATGAGCTTAGTTTTAAACAATAATTGAAATATTTGAAAATTAGCAGCTTAACAAGAATAATTTATTATTAATGATTCTGGTTATGTTATTATTATTTCTTTAAAATTAATATTATATTTTAATGACTTAATAATTTTCTTGTTTAAAGTTTGAATCCCTAAACCTTTTTTAACATTAACAAGGTGAAGGGTAAAAGTACAGTAAACTGTAAATAATTGAGGTTATGTATCTATATTATTTTCTGAAAATATTACAAGAAAAGTAAATACAAGTTTATTAAAATTAGCGGTTTCCAACATTTTGAAAAAAAATTAAAACCTTGTTTTGGCAGTCATATGTATAAAAAAATTACATAAGTAACGGCGGCCATTATCAAAGCAAAAGATGGTGATGGTACTTCAAAATATAGTAGCTAAGAAATTGTATTAAAATGTTAATGTTAAATGTTACATGTATAAGTTTACATGTAAAACTTTTTTTCAAAATTACCAGAAATAACGAAATTATAACGATTTGATTTTGACATGGTTTAGTTTTTCTTAAATACTAAAATTTTCTAGGTTTTTGAAAAACATTCATTTTAATATACGTACGCAACTTTTCTCTGACAAAACCGGCCTTGTAGCTCTTCAATTAAAAATAATATAGATATTCACTTAAAATGAAATAGTCAAAATTTTACTTTTTGAATTAGTACCAGCATTTTTTATAGTATACTAATAAAATAGTCGTTTTCACTTTTAAATAGTTATTTTTTACTACGTTAATAGTTAAAGTTTGACTAATTTATGATTAGTCACCATCTTTGACTATATATTTCTAAGAGTTAAAAGTAACTAATTTTTTCGTTTGCGGCCAACAACAAAGTATTATTTGAATTATGGTTAAATGGCCCATAAAAACAAACAAAGATGAAAAAACTTTATCTCAAAACAGCAACACAAATAATATATTCAACTTTAAAATATTATGAACAATATTTATTGACAAATAAAATTGATTTTTATAAGAGCGACTGATAGCCACATTGGTTATGACAACAGCTTGACAAGTGACAGACCTGAGTTCAATCCCCGGCTGGGTCAAAACTTTTTTAAATTTAAATCTACTAATTTTACTATTTTATTCAGTAGAATTTGACTAATTATAATTAGTCAAATTCTACTGAATAAAATAGTAAAATTAATAATTATTAGTGACTGCTTTTTCGCTATGACAATTAGTCAAATATGACTTATAATTAGTTATTTTTGACTAATTTATTTTAAGAGAGTATGTATATTAGTATATTACAATATATGTGTTTTTTGTTTATAAAGGTTCTTATGTGAGAATTAGATTATCTTTGGATAATTTTGATAATTTATCCCCTTATGCCTTTTACCCACTAAAATAATACATATCCTAAAAACGTTTTGTATTTAAAATTTTATTAAAAATTCTTAGTAACATTCATCTCTCGAATATTTAAAACAAAACCAGATCGAAAAAAATTATTAACTTTCTGTTTCCTTGATGAGATTACCATGTATTAAAGTTACACCTCGTAAAAATCTATTAAACGATATATAAAAACAGATTTTAATATGGAACTATTATCGACTTTGTTTATTAAAAAAATTGTTAAATATATTGAAAATTTACATATACTTAATTATGTTTAATATCAATTTTAAATTCTTCACGCAAAATAATAATGAACAAAATCTGTGACGAACAAACCACCATGGCAAAAACTCAATTACGTCAAAAAGTCCTGTAAGTATCCAACATGTCACTAAATCACTAAATCAGATTTATAAAAAAAGTATCCACCTGTACCACTGTTTCTAATGGATGGCCCCGCAGCGGATAGAGTGCCCAAAAGGGAGGCGCAAAAAAGTAGAACCGACCACCGAACCATTTTGGTTGTCACGCGCTGAAATCTTCGTAAATGACTGAAGCACTTAAGCGCGTCTGCCTCGAGTTTGGCCCAGCGGATTGGCGACCTTGCGGTACTAGCAGAGAAAGTGGTTTCCATGTATTAAAAATGACTATTTTCGTGTACGACCTACACTAAGATTAAATATGTTTCGGATGCCTAAAACTATTGGTAATTTGAACTTGCTACGTATAGGACTCAAGAGCATCAGGATTTTGCAATGAGACAGCATGTGTATTTTGATTCGTCTCAGAGTTGTTACAAACGTTTTGTTCTTTTATAATTGCCAAATTTGTTTGTTAAAAGGTTTTATGTTTTTAAAAAACGTGGAATGTTTCCTGTTTTCTGTTCCTATATCTAATCAAGTAAAATATTTGAAAGAAATGAACTACAATAATAAATAAAATAGTTATTTGTTTTACAGGTGTAATAAGCTTCTTTTTCATGCGAGTGTTTAAGTTGCTCACGAGGCCGTTAGGGCAAGTGTGCATTAACACGAGCTTGAAGAAAGATTTTCTTAAAAGTGAAATACAATGTTTTTCTACGACCGTTTAATTTTTTATTTCCACCTTCTTAGTAAATGACATTTTATAGGTTAATTGTGTTCTTTTTGTATTCAAGTAAACGATACATTATGGGAACAGACCTGTAATACTTTACGGGCTTGTATAAAAGACCTGTAAAGTTTTACAGGCTTGTAGAAAAGCAATTTATGAAATGAAATGTCACAT